TTAAAGTAAGAGCTTTAAACTTTTATTACTCTAAAGATTTCTAGTAAAATTAAAAAATTTTTATAATAAAGCTTATAAAATATGTTTTAAATAAAATATTGTATATAAAATATATCTCATATTAATAATAATTTTTAATATATTTAAAAATTATCGAAATTCCGGGCAAATTTGTCTGGAATATGGATTAAGGGTTATCTCTTTTATTATTATTATTATTATTATTTGATAGTGCATATTTTAATCTTGTAGTAATTTATTCATTTTAAAATACACCTTAAATACATCAATTAGATCACATTCTCTTGAAGTTTTCCACCTGTACGTGAATACGGAAGTACGTACGTACATACGTACGTACGAGTCACATGGTAAGGGTCACACACAGTTCAGCCGCAGTCACTGTAATCTTTCAGTATCTGGAAATGAAATTATCCGTATACTACGTATTTACTATGAGAAATAAAAGCATCATAGTATCATCCTCCTTTTTAGTGATAAATGATGAGGATTTTGATAATATGTATATTAATAATATTTTATTCTTATATATAAGATAACAAAGAAATAACATGAATGTACGTGACAGTACGAGATCTTATCAATAATATCTATATATCACGTGGTATAATGAAATCATAATAAAAAAAGCGACGCGATACGTTTTTACTATTTCATTTCAAATAAAACTTTTCTCCTAAACATCTAAACTAAATACTCATACTCTAGATAAACTTTAACTTTTAATATCTACATTAAAAAAAAAATGGGAAAGACAACAGCAGCAAAGACCGAAACTAAAAGTAAGCCAAAGGCGGAAGCGAAAGGTATATATTTATATAGCGATATAGCGTGTTTCGTTAAAAGAAAACAAAAAAGTTCATATAACGTTTTTATAATAATTTTATACACTTTTTATTTGAAATGTAATAACAGAAAAAAAGCCTCCAACCGTGTATAATTTGTTTATGCGATCGCAGCTTCCTAAAATCAAAGCCGAGAATCCAGGACTTGAACACAAAGCCGCTTTTAAACTTGTCGCTGAGGCTTGGGCCAAATCGTAGGTTCTTTAAAAAAAAGATCAGTGATAAATTGAATTTCTTTTGCTTTGATTAACAGTCGTAACGCGTTTTTTTAACTATATAGGTCCGAAAATCCCAAGAACCAAAGTCAAAAGCAGGAATGAAGTACGGATCTTCAAGACATCATAATAATACATCTGCGTTTACTTTTGCTTGTTAAGTTTCCTTCCGACACGCACATATATTCAAATTATGTAAACTTTGTAATGAGAAGAACATTAAAAAGTAATACGTATTATTAAACTTGCTCTTATATTTCGTTCGTAACTTTTTTAAAAATGAGTCGCGTGATTGTTTGTGATTATCGATATTAAATCGCGTGTGATCGATTTTAACGCAGTTATATTAAAGGGGTTAATAATACTACAATTATTATGCATTTTCACATGATTCTTGTTGCTTGATTATGTTATTAAAGTTATTGATAAATGAATCTGTCTCGAAATATCTTTTATTCCTTGAAACGCATTAAAATCTCTATTACATCATAGACAAATTATTTTTCTAAGCATGTTTAATTATTAATATAAAATGGAAAAAGTGGCTTTCAATACTTTGTGAAGGTTACAAAAAGTTGATGTTATTTGATGAGGGACTATGATTAAGTCACGAAAAGTAAAGGCATCAGATGAAAAATACGAGATCTTGTGATTTCCATAATAGTCTCTTAAATTTTGTTATCATAGTTATAAAGTGACCTACTAATCTGTCTTTTAGTGAAGCCAAATCATCAAAGATTTCTAGCGTAATATAAATTTTTAAAGAAATGAGGCCTTCATATAGACGGTGATTGATGTTCGTTATACAGTAATTAGATTATTCACTTTGCTCCTAATTTCTTTTGATGTAATTATCAATGGAAGATGACAATTGTCTTTTAGGCATAATTCTGATGAAGGATTATGAATTATGGTGTCTTATTAATAGGTGTTAATCAAGCATACGATTATGACTTGTATTTTCGTAAGAGGATATCTTCATCTGGCATCTAGTTGACACTTTTGTAAAACGATGTTTCGTGTTTCCATCAGAACGATAAGGATATTTAAATAATGTTTTAGCACCAATATTCTGTCTAAACAAGTTCAAATCTTTCTTTTTTTATCATCTGAAATTTGTTGGTAAGTGTTTCTCTCTCCGTTATCAATAATGTTTGACATGTGTATTGAAAATTATTCTGACCTAAAGCTACTTCACTCAGTTGAAACAGACTTAAAAATTCTCGACTCACCATAAGAATACAAGTTACGTTAAACAATGTGAGCTTTGTGATTTATTTTGCGTATTGATGAATTATTGATTAGATCGAATGTAAGAAATTCCTTCACAATTGATGAACGAGAAATTGTAACTAATAGTGACGTTAAAAATGATTCTAAGTATTGATCTTGATGCGTTTACAATTTTAGATCTTGCGAGGTAGTTAGCCCGAAGCTTACCGGCCATCTACATCAACATTTAATGTTTCATCGAACCGAAAACTTCATTTAAATAATCCAATTCTTATAATTGCCAGCTTTCTCTTTCTTAATAGTTTACTAAGTATTGTATGCATAAATCCATTTTTCTTAACTTCCTTTAATTTTTCTCGAGTCAACATTTGTATCACATTTATCTCAAAAGTTTGAATTAACTACCGTAGTTTATTTAATAAAAAAAAAAAATTCTATGCAATTTTTTAGATATGATGTCATTATATGGGTGTTACGTATTAAAAGAGCCCATTTTACAAATTTTCAAAAATAGATATATATTTTACAAAAAGGTTTTTTCATAATTACAAAAGCCAATTATATATATTTTATATGCCACTATTTGGGTTGGGTGCTGAGAAAGGGACCAAGTAAAGTTTTGCATAAAATGAGTGCTGCAAAGCGAAAACCTGGAATTTCGGTTTTTGCCGGCTCCGCTTTCAGATCCGACTCCTGATAAATTTAAATTAAGCATAACATAATTATATTGTGTTTTTCGGGGTTTGGATCTGTAAAATTAATTTCGGAAAACTCACAATTCCAGGTTTTTGCTTTGCAGCACTCAAATTGGTTTTATATTATAAAATCTATATTAATACCCTATAAATTTCGAAAGATTATATTGTAAATTTTTAAATAAAAAAAGGTTTTAAGCTAATTAGGCTTAAAATTTTTTTTAAAAAAATTGGCAATTTGGTTCTTTTTTAGCATGTATTGTTTATATATAAATTTTTAAGAGTAATTTAAATTTTTTAATAATTTAACAATTAAAATAGAGACTTGTTATTGCCACCCCCATTTTTGTTAATGCCACAGAAAATTTAAAAAAGTGCTCCGAAAGAGGTATTTTTATTAAAGTTGTTCATCAGGCCTTTCCGGTTCTAATGGTAGTAAAATCATTAAAATCGGGCCAGTAGTTTTTTTTTAAAAGTAGATAAATTTTG